CTTGCTCAAAATTCTAATTTTCACGCAAGGGTTTCAAAAGTTCGAACTCGATTTATTTCTTGGTTGGTTATTTGTTGACAAGGACGTACGGGATTGAACTGCATCAGTACGAGTAAAGGAAAGAAAAGGATATTATATAAGCGTGGATTTGTAGCCCATTCCTCTCCCCGCCTTTTTTCTCTAATTTTTCTTTAGATTTTTTTAATCATTCCCAGGTTTTCAAAGGTAATCGGTTTTTATTCGAATTTAATGGATTTATTTCTTGATTGATTATTTGCAGACAAGTTACGCACAGGATTAATCAGCTGCATCAGTGCGTTCCTATGAATAAAGATAAAGGAAGGAAAGAATATGTAAGCCTCTTAGCCTCTCTCGTTCGAATTTCGAAAGAAACTTTGCATTTCCACGCGCAAAAAACTTTCGTTTCGATCCAACATACGCTTAGAAACGATAAAAAACACAGAGTGTTTTCTTCCACTTCTTCGATCCTTATTCACAAAATTATCTTATTTTTTCTTTCTTCTCCACGCTCGTTCTCTCGCTCGACGACGAATACGCGAAGTCTTAGCTGCTCGCGTGTCAGCGGCCCGTTACTCGTCTCGATCGAGCGTTTGTCGCGAGCCGCGCTCGCTCCATTTCGCATCGAGCTTCCACGATTTCCTCGGCTGGAAAAGTTCCCGTTTACACGAACGAATCGTCGCCCGCTGCGATTCGCCGCTTAATTAGCATACGGCTCCGCCCACGCTCTCGCGGCGGGAGAGTTTTTCATAACGTTTCCATGTCCCACGCGATCTCTCTTCCTATTTTTAATTTCTCTCCCCTTTGTCCACCAAATTTTTTCCACGATTAAATTTCTGCAGAGGACTGGAACGGAAGGAATTAAATAAATAAGTAATTCTGGAACGAGTATCAACGAACAATTTCTCTTCGCTCTCTACTTTTTCTCCCTATTTTTATTTTTTTCCTTTTTTTAAAAAATTTATATAATATACGAATATTAAATATATCAGGCGGATTTTTTTCGAGGGTTTTTAAATTTTTAAAATGGAATAGAAAAGTAATTTTAGAATAAATATCGACGAATACTTTTTCTCGCGTTTCCTATTTTTATTTTTTCCCTTTTTTTTTTTTAAAAAAAACTCAAATATACGAATTTTATTAAATATATCGGGCAATTTTTTTCCGAGAATTAAATTTTCGGAGAAGGAACGGAAAAGTAAATAAAAGTAATTTCGGAACAAATATCGATGAATTATTTTCGATATCGGCCAATTTTTTTTCGAAGATTTAATTTTTCTCTTTTGGCAAATTTTTTTTCAACGATTAAATTTCCGGAGAAGACCGGGACAGAAATAAAAGTAAATTCGTGGCAACGAATGTCACGAATAATTTTCTTCGTTCCTCGAACGAGAGAAATCGATAAAAATTTCACGTTCAAAGGATATATTTCGCGTTGTGGGGGAGAAGGATGATTTTTAGAGAACGAAAAACCTTATCCCCAGCGACGGAGTGAAAATAGAAATCGAAGCTCTCGTGCTTCCTTTTTTTTTTTTTTTTGGAGATAGTTGTACGCTGTGCAACTTTGCGGGGGAGGAAGAATTTTTAGAATTGTCGAGGCGGATGGAGGGGGTGGAGGAAAGGAAGGTTTTAAGGGCGAACGGAAGGTTCGGGCGGAGGAGTTGGTGGCGAAGAAGAGTAGAGTCGAAGAGGCACCGCCAGAGGACGAGAGTGAGTGAAACGCGCTTGTGCGCTTCTTTCATTTATAATTATTAACACACCGAATCATCTCGTTACAATTTATCTCGTTGTTATCGTTAAAAATATAATATTAACCTTCCAAACTTTGATCATGTTTATCGTTCGATTCGAGCATTTCAACGATTTCAATTTGCTTTATTCCAGAGATTTTTAATTCTTTTAAGAAAATTGTAACGAGATGATCTGTTGTGGAGGCAAAAATAGTGTACGAGAAGGGGAATAAAAAGAGGTATTATTCGCGATTAAAAAGAATAATGTTCCAAGCAAAAAAAAAATTTAATTAGCTCTGGACAATGTTACTTCGACAATTTTTATCGTTCGAATCGAAGATTATTCGAGGATTTCAAGCATGAGCAATTAATGTAAACGTTGTTCGAGGTACTTTTGCTTTTTCGACTGGCTTTTTCGATCGATGGCCAACTGCGACGTTTCCACGCGACACGAAAGAATATTTGTCCGCGGCGCAAACACTTTTTACACATCGATCCACTTATCGATCCACTTTTCGAGCGAAACGCAGAGCGAGATAAGCACGCTCATGCTACATTTCAATAATTAAGTGCGTACATTTTAACTTACAACCCGCCCACTCACCAATACACGCTATACATACGTTATTTTCAATCGTCTCGCCCGATCTAAAAAATAATTAATGATATTATTACGCCTCGTAAAACGCGTACACGTATAATTTATTTACTCTGCTACGTGAAATATTCGTAAAAGCGTGTTTCTCTTTCGCAATAACCGAACGACAGTTCCAAATGAAAAACCATAACCAGCTTCTCGATAACTCGAACTTGCAACGTTCCGATGTTAAGAAAAGAAAAAGAAATCTCATTCAGGCCCAACCTTTCCTCCTCTCCTCTCCTCTGTTTACATAAAACTTTATCGTTCATTTTCGAGATTATTAATTATTAATTATTAACGTAATTAACGAAACCATATGGTGTCTTATTTGTGTCTTATTTGTTATTCGTTATCTTGATCGATCGAAACGACGATCAGATGGAATTATAAAAATTCGATTCAAGCCGTTTCTTTCGATCGATCTTTTCGTGTCTTCTACCGATCGGCGTGACGATCGCGAAATTAATGGAATTAATTGGGGAGGAGGAAACCGGAATTGATAATCGCGGTTCTGATCCCATCTGGTTCGAGCTTGATTCGATGTAAATGCATGTAAGTCGTGGTAAGGGATATATACACGCACCGGGTGTATATCGAGGAGGGGGAGAATTATCCTTGGACGAAAAGGGGAACGCGACGGTGGAATGGTAATCGGGTTTTCGAACGAGCAACGTGTATCTCATCGATTTCCAATTTAAAGATCGAAATCTTCGTGGAAGTAAGCTTTGCAACAGGGTACGTAAGTTGGTTAGTAAGTGGAGAAAATTTTTTACCGATTCACGGCATATCGATTTTCAATTTAGATCCTCATATGAGTATTGGAAGATTTGTTGTTTAGATAAATGAAAATTTTTACCAATTCTCGTGATATATATATATATATATATATTTTATCGATTTCTATGTTGAGGATACTCAAATGAATTTTGGAAGATTTATTATTTAGGAAAATGAAAAGAATCAAAGTATTCGAAACAATTTTTGGAAGATTTATTATTTAGAAAAATGAAAAATCTTTCCAATTCACGTGGAACTAGTATCTCTTAATCTATATGGTGTTTTTCGATTTTGAAGATAATT